GAACTCACAGAGATCCGCCTGGCTCTGCCTCCCGAGTGCTGGGATTAAAGGTGTGAGCCACCGCCGCCCAGCCAGATTGAGTAAATCTTTAACAATTGGATTTCAGGTGGCTGCCCAAACTGGGTCTGGGGGCTCAAAGTCTAGCAATCCCAGTTCTTTAGAGGATGAGATTGGAAGATCCGGAATTCAAGATTATTGAATGGAAAAAAAAGAAAGAAATAGGAGGGCTGGAGAGATGGCTCAGCACTGACTGCTCTTCCAGAGGACCTGAGTTCAATTCCCAGCAACCACATGGTGGCTCACAACCATCTATAATGAGATCTGGTGCCCTCTTCCGGCCTGCAGGGATACACACAGACAGAACACTGTATACATAATAAATAAATAAATCTTTAAAAAAAGAAAGAAAGAAAGAAAGAAAGAAAGAAAGAAAGAAAGAAAGAAAGAAAGAAAGAGAAGAAAGAAAGAAAAAAGAAAGAAAGAAATAGGAAAGGACAGGACTGCTAGGTATGGTGGAGGAGGAAGTTTATTGTAGATAAAGTGGAGGGCATCATAGCATAGCCAGAGTCAAAGACATCGGGGAGAGTCCAGAGTGGACCTGACTCTGAGCCAGGTGAGGACAGGGGCAGGGGAGAGCCGTACCAAGAGGCCAGAAGAGGAAAGCGCAGACAAAAAGATCACGGACCCCAAATGGCTGGATTATATAGGGAAGGGCAGCTGGGGCACTGGCAGCCCTGGGCTAGAGAAGTTTAGGGTACGGGGGGAGGGTGTACAAGCCAGGAGGACCCTGAAGCAGGAAGAAACTGAGGGATGCGGGAAGAAGCCGGCACCCAGCGTCTGCTTTGATCTGTTAAATAGGCACTTTAACCACAGTCTGTCTTGTCTCCTCGCAAAACTAAAAGACCCAGCACTAGGGAGGCAGAGGGAGCACATTTCTGTGAGTTCTGGGTCAGCCTGGTCTACACAGTTCAAAGCACGGGCTGCGCCCGCAGTCCCCTAAACTGCCGCTCTCACTCGGCCTGACGAGTTGGTCCGGCTGCCCCCAGCGCCATGACGGGTTCTTCTAGTGTTGCCACCACGAAGAAGGTGGTTCAGCAGCTCCAGCTAGAGACCCGGCTCAACCAAGTGAAGGGTTCCCAGCCAGCTGCAGACTGAACAGTTCTGTCTTCAGAATGCTCAACAAGACCCTCCGCTGACTGGGGTATCTTCACGTTCCAAATCCTGGGAAGTCTGCTCCTTTTTGTATTCAGATGTCCTGAGGTTTCCACTTTTCATGAACCAGTGAATATTCAATCAAGAGGACTAAATCTGAAGTCTGTACAAAGTTTCCCTATAACACGTGCCATAATATACCATTTCTACTTGTGAGTCCTCTGAATTTTCATGGGTTTCTGTTTCACAGGGTTTAACTATTTCATATACACTGGCTGTAGCATACAATAAAACAACATACAAAAACAAACAAACAAACAAACAAAAACCCACTCAATGCTCTCCCAGAGGATCCAG